GCGATTACCTGTTTGAAGTTTTTACTAACGTTATTTCGCGCGCGATTGCTCGTGTTCGTATAATCCCTATCTACCGACCAGAGAGATTGGGTTTTCCGGAGAGACTACGGGCTCGTCGGCAAAACCAGGGTACAGCGGGCGTCCGGGCCAAGCCCTTCGTCTATACGTCTTTGCGGGCGTCTCTGGTGGACTCGGACTTGGGTATGAACTCGTTGAGGTTTGTGGTTAGCTGCAGGGACGGACATAATTGTATGCCCCGGTTGTGTGTGGCCGGGGCGTCCGTCTCGTGAGCAGCTACTTCGTCTTAGTAGAGGTCTAATTGAGGGCCTGAAGCGAGGAGACGCGTGGGGCACGTGAGTTGCCCTTTAAGTTGGAAACTATGTCCGGGCATCGTCACAGGACATTGCGACTGGCATCTCCGGTACTAGCCGCTTAGGTTATTGGGAACTGGAAAAACGTCGTTTTTTTTCAGCGTCGGGAAGTGAGCGTGTCTAGTGGACTCCGAGTCAACGTCTTAGCGGTGGCAACCGCTAGTTGTGCAATGCGTTACGGGAAGTGAGCGCACCTACAGCTCCGGTGCCTATCTGGACAATAGGGAGGGTACTGTACGTGCACACGGGCAAGCTCACCCGAGGTACTAGCCTCTCGAAGAACCGGTTGTAGTCCACTGGCTGATCTGGGGTCAGATCCTGAACTTATAAGGTTCCTGTGCGCGCACAGGTTATAATGCCCTTCTCGTATACCCTCAGGGCCGGTAGGGAGGGTCACTATAATCAAAACTAATGTAGAAAGATATATGTCTGCTTGTGTTCATTTTTTTTACAACGGCAAGAGCGTCCGTGTAAAGGATAATCCGCAGGATAGACCACGTGAAACTGGCGCGTGTTGGAGTGCGCGATTGCGCGCGCCGTTGATGAGCTCATTAGCGCGGTCTTTTCCTTCCAATATCTTTACACGCGCGCTCAATTGCGCACGATTGCTGTATCACGCGAGATAGAGTATGTGTAAAACCCGCGATTATCACGAACAAGGAATATGTTCTATACTATCATTACAGCTGTAGTAATTATCCAAAGCAGAGGAAGAGTTAGGTCCCACTTGTCTCTCTTCAGCACCGGGCAGCTGCTTCAACATCGTCACGACGCTCAAGATTACGTGAGGCGATGAAGCTGAATCAAGATAATGAGACAACGCAAAGCAACTCAATGATTGAGGAGGCGCCTGTATTTCAACTCTGTAATAATCGTACACAACGGAAACTTTTTTATATACTTTAAGATGTGAGAGTCATATATTATGAATAAAGAAGTTTTATACGAGTATCCACGTTTTCAACAGAAATAACAAATAAAAACATTAATTTTATTCTTAGCTGTTAGCAAGCTGTAACAAAATAACCGTCGGTGTGTAATCACGTATCCTGTCATAAAATTCTATTCTAGCCGTTTCTATTGAAACTGATTTGTGGTTTGAGTATTGATTGTGCGACCAATGAAACATAATAAGCCGGATTGTTTGTTTCACCACATTATATATTATAAACCAGACTTGTAGTTCTGTATTCCGAATGTGACCACCCGAATACTTGGCCCCACAGAACAATAAATGGAGTAGAAGTGCTTAGCTTGCATGGCACGTGTGCCAACAGTACGCGGAGTTCCATATACTTAAACTCAGTCTGCCATTTTCGCTTTGTGAGTTATAGTCTTGTTAATTATCTCGCGCAAAACCTCGAAAATCGTAAAAATGAAATATGTTTCTACTTTGGAGTGTAAAAATTGTAGTCGCATTTGTAATATTCTCTGTGGTGGTGTTTCATAAATGTTGAGTTTTATTTTATTTTATTTTAATAAATTTTCAATTTTCTGTTTATTGTATTTTTTTGTTACAAGTAACGAAAGTACACCAATCACGGACACTTCTATTCTATCTCTTTGGTTTTTTGTTTTGTAGTGTTTGTTTGGCTTTCATTCGAGTTTGTTATCGTGGATTGTTAACAAAATATACATTAAATATTGGTTGTGTTTCATTATTTTAAATTATTCGTGGAAAAGGTATTGTTTGCGATCATTACATAATTAGTACTTAAAATCTCGCACCTATTACTTAGGCCACATGGCAACACGGTAGTCAATTCTAAGAACCCACATTACGCAACGATTGCATAAAATACTATTCTGTCAATTGTGTAACTTAAAAATGAGTTACGAGCCTAAAAAAACAGACTGTGCTTCTTCCGGAGAATTCTCGCGCAGTCGCGGGAATTCTCGCAATAACCGTATCGTATCAATTTTGTACGTTACACAATTAATATAAAGTTAATTATGCTATGTATAATTTCGTTACAAAATGTAGCTTCCTTTTCGTTCCGCGACAACGTAAATTGAGCCTGTCGTATTATGTCCTATTGTGAATTTTATTAAAGTCGATAATGATCATGACACCATTACGTACTCATTTTTTTCAGATTTACCAACCGCAATGTACGTTCAAAGAGATTGAAGAAGGAACGAGTAATTTTACAACTAGTGGTGTAGTAGTTATTATGTGCTTATGTGACCGGTTTGTCATCAGCAGCAAAGTCCGCGTTACAACCTTAAGGCTGCAAATTCGAAGCGATGGCGGCTAGCGCACCACGCGCTCATGGGGGCGTTCAATTTTTGTGCGTACATTGTGTCTTGTGTTGGATGTATCCAACATAGAGATGGGAAAAACTGCTTATTTTTTTAAACGTTTAAACGTTATGCTTTTTTAAACGCTTTTTAATTTGAAGCTAACAAAATCGTTTAGAAAACGTTTAAGAGCATGGACTTTTATGTTAAAAAAAGCTTGCAACGTTGTTGTATTAATAGCGAAACGCAAGAGTAGACCACTAAAGGTTTTAAGATAAGTAAGTTTGTTTGTAAAAAACGAGTTATATTTTTAACATAACATTACTATAATAACATTTTGTTCATCGGCGTTTATAAACATAAGTTGTTTAACTTTTGTAGTTGTTAACCGTTGAAATGGAAAAAACTGCTTATTTTTTAACATTAAAACGTACGTTTAAAAAGCGTGCTTGTAAAAGCGCTTTTCACTTCAACGCTTTTTAGTTTGACGCTTAAGTCGTTTAGAAAAACGTTCAAGCGCATAGACTTTATGTTTAAAAAAAGCTTGCAACGTTATGTTGAATTAATTAATTTAGGAAACATAGATGGCGCAACTCGAAACTTAGGCACGTTGTAAAAAATGAAATTATTGAGTATCTATAGAACTTGCCAGTGACCAACGCTAACGCTTAAAATGAAAAGCAGACTTTTTAAGTGCTTTTCGTTTAAACCCACCTCTAATCCAACATAAGACAAACGCTTGCGTAATGTACGCACAAACTGAACGCCCCCTTGAACTCAACATTGTCGCGAATTTGTAGCGTCCGAGAAGTGACGGTCCGAAATGTCACAGATATCGTTGTCTCTAGATGAACAAGCGATATTCGAATTTTCTCGGATTCAAAACAGACTTAGTGCACAATCGTCATCCGAAGTGGGTCAGAGATTTTGTATAGGAAAGTATACGAATCGGAGGCAGTGCGTAAACTCTTAAGAGCGGGCAATAGTGGCCACCCGTAACTTTCTTATTCTCGTCAACCAATGATCACATTTCTATTCTGTTTCACAAATTGGGACGGAGTTACCTACAATTTCAGCTGCAAACAAAACTGTTTGGTGCTGGACTGTTTTAATTTTGCCGATAGTATCTCTTACGGCTCACGAATTGCGTATATATTAAGAAAAACATATTGCATTACGCTGTCGTTACTTTAGTTAGTTTTTTTTGTTGTTTTTTTAATACCGCAATTGCATTGATTTCGGATATGTGATCCTAAGTCTCCCGTGCGTGTGATTCTACTGGCTCTTCGTATACTTCAATTTCGAATAGTAAAGTATTATACTGTAATAGCAGCGGTTTCATGTATGTATGAATACACTCTTCTTGCATAGATCTCGAATCAGACTTACCATTCATATCAATCTCCAAGCCGTCTACGTCTCAAACACAACTCGAAGAAATTATATTAAATTGAAGACGCGACATGAAGCGCGCGAGCCATAAATTCATATTTTGGCAGTGATTGCCACACTTGTTCAGCGATCAAAGAGTTGGATTATCTTTTACAATCACCGTCTTTTCTTGACTTTCCCCGTTTTTTATTTGTAACTCATATTTTGCTTTAATATTACAGAAATATGACTTAATATTTACGAAGTATATTCTTCGGGAAAAAAATTATAATGTAGTGCATTCGAATCGTATTGGGGAATGTTGTAAAATACTGGAACATTAATATTTTATTTAAATCTTAGTTTCTTATAGGCAAGTACATAAACAGTATTAACTAAAATACCTTCAGGCATGTAGGGCTTTGCACTATTTATAATCATCATGTCATGAAAGGTCGCCCCATCTTTATTATGACACAACTGGGTCGAGGCGAGTCTTCCATCGGGTATTTTTGGATCATCATTGTGCAATTATTTTCATTTTCTTAGAAGCACTAATGTAGACATTGTGCGATATAATTGTTTCTCTAGATATTGTTATCTAGGCTTACTCATTTCAGGGATCTAATTTGGATCCAAAACAAATAACGATCATTTAAAAGCCGTTCTCAATATCTATATCGATAAAAAGCAAATTTGTTCTGTATATGCTGGTATAGGTAGTGAATTTGGAAAGGTAGTTTGTGTTTATTATCACCACAAACATTTCTAAAGAAGCCAAACCAATTAGAGCCTAGACTTTACAAATTTTCCTGTCTTCAAGGAAGGTCTCAATCAACAGTTGTCGATAGACAACGTGTTGCTAAAAAAAAACAAACAAAAGGGGAAAAATATTTTAATGTTTCAAATTCAGTCATGCTTATAATAAAAGCTTTACACAGTGCGGTCGTGCTGTCCAAACTAATCGGAAGTACCCCAGAAATCGTCTACCTCTTCCTCCTGCTCCTCCTCCTTTACCTTCTCTTTGTCTTCCTTCTCCTCCTCGAAGGAGTCGAGTTTGGGCAAGTCCTTGAGCGGCTTGAGAGCGCTGTCTGTTGCTGGAGCAGCGTCCGCGCTCCACTCATGTTTCTCTTCGGCCGAGTTTTCTCGCGACCGACTTCTGGAATAAGAACGCGCCGACAGATTAGGAGTGCTCCCGAAACCGGCACTTTCTGTTGCCATACGATCGAACTCAGCTTCCTCGAGTGACGTGAACATCTTAAGTTCCTCCTCGCGCGACGCCCGCGATTCTCGCGACGAGGTCGAGGACGAAGAATGGCGTTTTTTGAAACTGCGACGCCTGCCACTCGGGTCGCTTCGTTGCAACGGTCGGAACTTAATTCCGTCAAGTGATCTTAAACAAAATAACATGAGCCGTTATAGTACAGGTGAGATGTCAGGAGCGGAAGTACCGTCTACGCGTGCTTGTGATGATGGAACCCATGACCAATGAGGGGGACTACACAGCTAAGTCACTACAGAGCGGGGGTGCGACACTATACATGAAGCGTGCCCGTGGCAGCTAAATATTAACCTTAAGAACTCTTCGCTGTAAATAGTCACTCCTGGGGTATCGTCGTCATATGACTGGAATTGTATTTCGGGCAGTGTTGGTTGGACGGGGCTCTTAGGACGGTAATGCCAGGTCAGTTTCTCTGTGGATTCTGAATTTGCTTCGTCGCGTTCGTCACGCTCGGAAGAATTTGCGGAAAAACGATGATCTGAAATGTTTTCAGAAGCAGGTGATTTGTCTCTTACTCCGACACTGAACGATTCTGATGTGTTGGAAATTATGGTTTTTGTCCTCGTCGGCGTATACCTTTCTGTCCTGTAGTCACCGTTAGCTTGGAAGTTATTAGAGTCTTCAACAGAATCTTGGCCAAAGCTAGAAATTTTAGTCGAGAACAATATGGCTGTCGAGTCGGGAACTTCGCCGAAAAACTTGACGGCGGCTGATTTTAGAAGTCCATTTTCATCCTCGGTGAGGCATAGGTATCCTTGACCGCATTGCGCGCTGCAGAGCGCGGCGGACGGGTTAGGTTGTCGCTGGAGAAGCTTGTTGTAGTACTCGACAAGGTCGCGGAAGTCGGGCTCGGTCTCGGGCACCAGGCCGCTCATGATGTGGTTAAGGCACTCCATCGCTTCGCGAACCCCCGCGTACGAGATTATTACGGAGAGCAACAATCCCATTTTCACGTCACACGGATCACACGGTTTGTTTATTTTAATTCTGTCGGAGTCGGATGGGGTTAATTTTAAAGGGTAAAAGGGAGCAGGGATGCAGAGTACGCTGGGGCTCTGTAACAACTGAAATTCAAGTGTAATACTTGCCAAAGATTTGTGTCCAATTTAGACTAGAGCTGGCGGTGAGGCCAGACATGATTACATTTATCTGGGCAGCGCACACGCAAGGCCACGGTGGCCGCGACAATGAACATGATGCGCTGCTGATTGATCGCAGTTAGTTTGCGTCAGGTAAATGCAAGTGCGGTGTAAATAAATAACACTTTAACATCATAATTTTCTCGTTACTAAATGCCTGTAAGCGTCCGCTGAACCCACCACAGTGTACGTAATCTTAAGGATGCAATAGTATATATTTAACTAACCACTGATAACTTTATCGAACAACAAGTAAGCGATTACAAAAACATTCATATTTCACCCAAATTAAAATCAATAAATTAATACAAAATATTATTTATTCTTTAAAGCATTTGGAACATTCTTGCCAAAAATCTACAACAATGACTAAATTAAATATAAGAAATGACGCTATTGTTTTCCGATCCAAATCGCGTATATTTGTTTTTTCAAATAAACCAACGTTTTTGGCCCTTTACTGGTCCCATGGTCACAGTTGACTGAGAAGGTAAAGTCGTCAACCAGATATGTCTAGCCAAGAAAGCCCTTCAGTTCTTTAATGCTTACGACAATGGCTCGGAACAGTAATTAGTGGTGATCACAATATGTCATTCAATTATTGCAGTGATGAAGGTCTGCATAGGACCTGAATGAAGCCATCCTAATAAGAATTATAATAATAATCCCAATTGTTTTGTCCGCAAATGGGTTAATTCCAGTCAGCCTTTCTAACAGCTTGAGGCGGTTGGATTTCTGTGGCGTGTCGCTTCCAGCACAAATGCAGAAGGCGGTCCTGCTCGATACGGCACGTATTGTTCGCCGATTCTTGGACCTGTCCCCGGCCGACTGTGCCATTGCCGGGAAATACCGCCTCTCCCATTTAAAAATTCAAAATTAGTCTTTTAGGCCTTGGGAGAGGCGAGAGTTTAAAATAAACATAATAATAATAATAATAATACGTCTAATATTAATGCAAACTACCCTACTTTTTACTATAATTAGTCAAAATTTCAAAAATCAGTAGGTATAATTTAAGTAACGCCATTCCGTTTCTAAACTAGTACACTCCAACGCAAGGATTTGTTGAAAATTCCGACCACAAAATGACAAATATCGGAATTCACCTCCAAACGTTTATTTCAATTCTTCTGGAACTTGACGTTAGCTCGAATAATGGTTTTTGTGCTTAAATTCATGAGTCGGTCTCCATTGAGTGGGTAATGTTCAAGTTAGTTTTCTCTACCCAATTTCGGTGGCAATTTTAATTACTTAAATAATCAAGAATAATATTGTGAAATGTACTCCGAGACTGATTATTTTTGTTATAATCTGCATATCTATAACCTTAAGGTCAATATAAATGATAAATAAGCAATAAATGATAAGACCATGATCATGCTAGCTTTTATCAATATTAGGTTTTTGAAAATAGTACAGTTTTTTACAAAGGGTATTTGTGTTTTCTTTTATTTTTATAATAGGTACGAAATGACGAACAATTCGTGCGCCTGGTGGTAAGCGACACGCATATCCATAACGGTTGCAGTGTCAATCAGAGCTTTAAATCGCAAAGATCTTATTGTCACTGCCACTGCCACCCTAAAACATAACGACTCATCCGTAGAACAAAGATCTATGCGCGAGACTACTTCTTCTCAGGACATAGTACGTTTCCTTCGTTCTTCTTCGCTATGGATGTCATATCGACCGTTGTTCGATTTTATATTTATTGTTTCTTTTTATATTTCTAATTTTATATTAAAAATTCTCAAAACACCTTTACACAGGCCTTAGTTTGATGAAATAAATAATCACATCGGACTTTGTTCTTCGGATGAGTCGATAAGTTGACAAGTCCCATAAGCCTGTAATTTCACCAGCACCCTTACCCTTTCAAACCGGAACGCAGTAACGCTTACATTATACTGCTTGGAGGCAGAAATAGGTAACACTTTCATGGGCAGTACTTAAAAAGTAGGGCACACAAAAATGTCAGTACTTTTCTTGCCATAGCATATTCAATATAAAATGTTCAACGTATTTAAATCATTGAGTTTTGTCAGTAGGTACGTTGTTGATACTTCTCTATGGAAAAGCAGTATGCGGCAATTCCACAGAAAGTACCTACTTGGAAGTAGTACTGTAAAACCCGTACTTGGTTTTTGAGATCCATATATCGAAACGGGGTATCACATACGATCATATTCTAATATTTCATTTATATATAATATAATAGTATTTTATGACGTTTCTTATATAACAAAACTAATAATCTATTTGCCATTGATAAAAAAAAGAGTGTAAAAAAGGTGGTTTCTAAGCGGCTCATGAAACCTACATATGCAGAAACAGAAAATCTTCTATATACAATCAAATAAATTAACGTCTTTGTAAACACACACACACACACACACACACACACACACACACACACACACACA